TCCCTAACGTTCTGTGTGTGATTCTGTGATTCTGTGACAAGTCTTCCCAGATTTTCCCAGCCATTGCCACCTGTTTGCCACGGGCCGTGGTGCTAAAAGCAGAAATGCTCAAGTGGAGTTTCAATAGAGAAAGCAGTCATGTCACATCATGGCATAGAGAGAAAGTCTCTCTCCAGCCCTGCTCCTAAGCTGAAGGAAACTCACTGCAGAGGAGATGAAGGCGAAGGACTTGGGACCACACCTGAGTCAACACCTGCAGAATCATGGAATGGTTTGGGTTGGAAGGGACCTCCCACAGCCCAACCCCTGCCATGGGCAGGGAAACCTCCACACCAGGCTGCTCAAAGCCCCGTCCAACCTGGCCTTGGACACTTCCAGGGAGGGGGCATCCACAGCTTCCCTGGGCAATCTGTGCCAGTGTCTCACCACCCTCACAGTACAGAATTTCTTCCTAATGTCTAATCAATATCTTCCCTCTTTCAGTCTGAAACCATCACCCCTCGTCCCATCACTCCATGCCCTTGTAAAAAGTCCCTCCCTAGCTTTTCTGTAGGCCCCACAGGTACAGGAAGGTTCTGAAATTCCTTCTTGATATGCAGCTATGGTAAGTCCAACAAGTCCCACATTATTATTTCTGCCATAAGAAAAAAAAACAAATGCAGCCTCTTTGGGGCTTTGGAGAGGACTCTGTGCTCTTTCTAGACATGGGTATCATGACATACGTTTGCCTCTTGTAACCAGTCGGGCTCCCTGCACAGACCTAGCAAGATAGGTGCTGGCAGCAGAACATGGCTGAAGACAGAGACTTCTCGTATTTTCTATTTCTCTTTAAAAAAAAAGGAGAATTCCACTTACTTGAGGTGTTATCACCACAGACTTTGTGCTGGTCACCCGGTAGATGCAACCGAAGAATAGAGGTCTGAATGGAGAAGGTTTGGGAATTAGCTGGGAATTCCAATTCTTTTCTTGTTCTAAGATGGCCTGTAAACATCAGTTATCACTTTTGAGAGAGGAAAAATACCCAAGAGGTGTGAACTGGAGGTAGCCCTTGGAGTCAAAAAGAGAGGAGTCGGATATGGTCAGAGCAGACTGCTGAGTGCAGTACGGGCAGCGCTGTGGTTCAGGGACCATGCAGCTCCGCTCAGCGCAGGCAGGAACACAGGCAGGGCCATGCCCACCTTCACTGCTGCTCCGTGACAGCAGGTAATGGCTTGTGGCAGCAGAACAGCTGGAACGCAGACACCTATAGCTTGTGCCTGGCACAGCCAGCAAGTCCTGCATCTGCTCACATTGCAGAGCATCCTGTGCCACGGCTTCACTCATGCTAGGACACACTGTCCCAGCCCAAAATACGGACAGCAGTTCCTGGAGGTACCTGTGAGAGGTATGCTACCTCTGTAGTGGGAGATGGGAACACAGGACCGTGTGTGAATCAAAGGCTGGTGGCAGAAACACTGGGAGGCATCTCTGCTTATCAAATCCAGCCCCTGCTACTGCAGCCACCCCAGAATTCATTCTTTTGTAAGTAAGCTCCTCGAGTCAAGCTCCTTCCGCCTTACCTTCTTCACAGAGATGTCATCTGGGATCAGGTAGAGGTGGAGAGTTGTATTTGCAGCACTGAGCTGCTGGAAGATCAGCACCCAGGAGTGCATAGGGAATAAATACAAGGTTGAACGTAACCTCCTCCAAAGCACCCCAAGCAGTGAGAAGCTGGGATTCTCCAGGACAGCAGAGTAAGCAATCAGCCTGGTCGGTCTCTCCAGGGTCATCTTCCCAGATTTAAAATGGGCAATGGAGCACAGGCTGGCATTTACATCTTCTGAAAGAGAAAGCAAAGGCAACAAAGCTCTGTTCAGTCATCCTGGCACCCCCTCATGCTGCCTCCTTCTCTTCAAGGCTTTAGCAGCAGAAAGGAGAAAAGTGCCCACACGTGATGACATGTGCTGCATTAGGTCCCATGTGTGCCCTGGGCTTTTGGAGCTCAGCAGGGATTTGCAGGCCTTTGTTAGTCTTCTTGTGGTCTCAGAAATCTGCAAATCTGGAGGTGGCAGCTTGGGACTGTGAAAATCGTCAGACTGCACCCATGCAGCATCCTGTGTGCAAGCACCACACCACCACACAGTGGGGAGGCAGATGGTCACTGCATGAGAATTTATGCCAGGTTTTGATCATCAGAGCCGCAGTAACATCCTGAGGGGACATCCCTAGGGGAAACTGGGTTAGAGAGCTCTGCTGATGTCCAGTCACATGGACTATCTCTGGAGCACACTTTGTTATGAACCTGGCAATTCAAGATATTTATGGCATTTTGCTTCACACAGCTGTGTCAGTAAAGGGTGCACAGTGCCACTTTTTGACTGACATGGCTGAGCTTGCCAGGCCTTGCACAGGAAATGGAGACATACAAGAAGAAACTCCTTTCACCATGTGATCTGTCTCGGCAGAGGACAGAGATTTGCCAGGAAGAGTTCCTGTGCCAGCACATCCCGTGCCTGTGTGCAAACCTCCAGCATAGAGCACTGGGACTCCTCTGCATGCTCTGCAGCCCAGCTGTGGGTGCTGAAGCCCCTTCTCTGCTCATGAACAGCAGCTCGTTAGGAGCACTGCAGGCCAGAGGACCCAGATCCAAGCCTTGTGGCTCCTCACATGGCCTGTGTGAAAATGTACAGTTTCATTCCACTTTTTCTGCCTGGGCCAGCTCTGACCTATTGCATCCCACCTCGGGGTGGTCCAGCCTGTGGGTGGGCACAGTCAGCTCCTGCGCCGGTGGAGCAGAGCGGGGATGGCCACAGCCATCCACAGATGCCATGGATGCAAAGAGCTGAAAAAGTCTGTGGGAGCCCAGCGGCTGATCTGCAGCTGGGCTGGGGTAGGGCCCGGGGGTCATCACAGCAGCTGATGAGGAGGAGAGGGTGGTTGAGGAGGGGCTGGTGGTGTGGAGCAGGAGCTGGGGAAGGGACCACTGCGAAGGCTGGATAGAAAGTGAGAGGAGGATGAAGGACGCCAAAGCAAAGCAGAGCAATATGAGGGAGGCCAGGGGACTTTGGGGGGAAGGGAGGGTTTGGCCCTGCCGGAGAGAGGTCTCCGAGGAGCCAAAGATGTCCCCAGGGGGGACAGGCTGAGGGATGGTGGCTTGGGAGAGCCAGGTCCCTGCGGCTGCTGTACCTGCCAGGCAGATGAAGTGGGGGAGATGCACTGCCCGCACCACACCAGGCTGCACCGTGATGTGTAAGAGGGGGCCAGCGGGCACCCATGTTTCCTGGTCAGCCTTGCTCAGGTGACTGGTCCAGCTGGCATATCTGTAGGTGATGGTCACTGCCGACTTCACCTTGAAGCTGAGGCCTGTGATGGAGCACTGGAAGGTGCCTGCACCAGGGAGGTGAGCTCTGCGGGTGGGAGGGTTGACAGGCTCATGCCACCTGGACAGGGCTTGCAGAAGGTGCTCCTGCTTCCCCCCACAGCTCTTACCGGTACATGTTGCGGTCCTTCAAATGGTCTTGGGTTATCTCTGGCATCACTTCTTGAAAACGCTGCAACACAAATGTGGACAGTTTGGGACTGAACAGCACACTAGGTGCTGCTTGCAGGAGGACGACCTCCTAGGAGACAGTGGGGTCAATGCCAGGGTCCCAGCTGTGCCATTTCCTTTGGGTGCCACAGTGCCCTGACAGGACGGGCAAAGCCCTTACCTCCCGCATGCAGCGCAGGCAGCTTCCCTGCGGTCCTGAGTCCAGCCTTGGAGGATGATGTCTCTCCTGCAGAGGGAACACAGGGGAGAGCACTCACAAGCCATGTTCCTCCCCTCCAGCCGTGCTGGCTGCTGGAGGCAGGAGGAGAGGACGTGCGACATCCCCAGTGCAGGGCGCAGGGCTGGCCCTGCTCCCCGCTGCTGTAGGGAGGAACAGACTGGCATGGGAGCTGTGCCTGCCTGGCCAGCCTGCAGCATGAGGACCCTCTCCTGGGACC